GAGACTATAAGATGAAATATTATTGTCAATACCAAAGTTTCTTTTGGTCTTCAAACAACTTTCCCTCTAGAAAATCCTACAAAATGAGATTTAGTGTGTGTTTAAGATTTTTGTAGCTTAAAAAACAATCAATTAAGTTTTAATTTATAACAATAAAAGTGTTTCGTAAACATTTTTTAAATTTGATTAAGTTTGAAACTGATTATAAAAATAATAGATTTATAAAAAGGATTCCAAAAGCTAGTAGGACAGTAGGAGTAGCTTTTAAAAATAAGATTATTTATAAAACTGATTTTATATTTTGAAATGACAAATATACCCATATACAGTTTTTCAAATTACAAAAATAACTTAAATAAACAAATGATTTATTACATAAATAATTTCATAATTTATTTATAAATTAAAAAATTGAAATAGGACTGATTGCTGCCACTATCGACTGTGGTCAATAGCAAGTCAACGTCGGTGAATAATGGGGCGTCACATCTAGTCCTATAAGGACCGGAAACTACCGACTTGTCAAAATCAAGTTGAGTAATCAAAATCCTACGTCACTTTGGCCGTAGAAGGTGGCCAAATCTTTTTTCACCTTCCGTAGCCAAAATATAGTCAGAATTAAGTGATTTAACCGAATTACAATAGATTGTCGACCAGTAAACTATTTTTTCAAATTTTGTATATTATTAGTTTTAATAATATAAATTATTTTAATATTTATTAAATGCTTTTAAAATACAAATTTATATCTATAAAAATATTTTAAGAAATAAAATGTCGTTTTTGGTCATTACATATACAACAAAAATTTCAATAATTTACCAAACAAACAATCATAGGTTTTGAAAATCAAAACAATTTTAAAAGTAGCATTTTGCCAAACACAATAAAAAATATTTTCAAAGCGGGTTATTTTTAAAGTTGGGGAAAAACTAATTAAACTTAAAGCTACAACAATCCCGAACTAACCCTTAAACATCTTCTCAGCATAGTTATAATGATAATATCAATAATGTTAATTACTATATTATTATGAGATGATTCATTACTAAAAAAGAAAAAAAAAAACTTATATCTCCTTTTACCTCTCCTCCAAGTCCAAAATCCAACTAAAACATCGCCTTTCTCAACTGCAATAACATTGTCTATTTCAACATTAAATATCTGAATAAAAAAAAAAAAAAAAGTTCACTGATTTCTTCAAAAATATATTAAGGTTTAGTTTGTGATTGTTGTAGCTCAAGAAATAATCACTTATTTGTTAAGCTAACATGCCAAAAGTGTTTTAAAAAGTGATTATGCAAGAAGTTGATTATGAAATATTCTATTTTTTTAAGGAATTTCAAAAGGAGGTTTGTAACTTTTGGAATTCAAAAGCTACTTTTGAAAATTGTAATTACAAAAATGCCCTCGTAATAATATTAAAACCTAAATTCATTGAAAACAATTTTAAAATTAAATAATAAAAACTTATTTAGAAACAGGAAATCTAGAATCTGGTTGATGGAGCCGCCGACTAGACATTGCTGGCGGTGAACAACCGCTGTCACCAGTGACGAGTGGGATGACATTGTCGACACCATTGTGTTTGTTGGCCGATGATCTATGCAACAGTGCCGACGGTGTTGTAAAATCTTTCAGCGTTTTGCTGCAGTTGGCTGACAAAGTTCAACCAAAACTTTGTCGACTCTCTATGGCATGATGTCACTGTATTTCTATTTCACCACAATGCCAACACCATTGCGTAGATCATCCACCAACGAACACAACGATGTTGACAATGTCAATCCACTCACCACCATATGATTCGTTGATGACGGTGGCCGACAATGTCTGGCAGACGAATTTCAACCTTTTAAACTTTTAATTTTTTAATTTTTTAATTTTTGAAATTTAAAAATTTAATATAATTAATATTGAACAGTTTTTTTTTTTTTTTAAAAAAAAAACACCTATTGATGCTCACTTTGTCTAGGAAGCTCAATAGGCCTAATAGAAGAAACAACTCAACAAAAAGGAGTTTGAAAGTCGTTTGGCGCAAAGCCCATTAAGCTTGTTTCTGTTAAACCATTTCCGAAGGCCGGTCGACCTAAGCCACATCAATGGGGCATTTTTTGGTAAGTTATTGTCTGGAGGCTAAGAAATTCCAATCGGGCTTACTAGCTTTGAATTAGGTCCATTGGAGGACCCTAATTAGACATTTCGATTTTCATAAGCGTGAAAAACTTTTTTTTTTTTTTTAAATAAACCCAAGAAAAATATTTCAGAGAATTACTATAAAATTTTTAATTTTTTTTTCAAAGCTTTTCTAACATTCAGGGCAGTAAGAGAAAAAGTCTTTATCATTGAATTTCTGCTTAGTATTTTCAAAATCCATTCTCAACAGACGTTTATATTCTTTTATTTGCATTGACATGCATCCCTTCAATTCGTATTATTTTCTCAAGGACCAATTTCCAATAATTTCATATTTTTACTTGCACATATAAGCAATTGTACACGTTGACACCACATGTGTGTTTTTTAAGGGTCTGTTTGACAGTTTTTTTTTTTACTGGTTTTGGAGGGTTTTTAATTAGACTAGTTTTGAGGTGTTTAAAAACCATTATTTGCCAGATTTTTTATAGGCTGGTTTTGACTGGTTTAAAAACCCTTCAAAACCAGTGTAATGTATTTTTTACGGGTTTATAAAATACTCTAAATCAGGGTGTTTTGGCTGGTTTAAAAATTTTATCCCCAAAAAAACCCCTTTTCCACTAATAATCCCTTTGCTGCTAAATGTCTAACCTTTTTCTTCTAATTTGATCGGCCATTTGTTGACGACAATGCCCCATTGGTATTCTCTTTGATTCTAAATGACGGTAGAGTACTGTCAGTAGAATAAGAAGTTTGAGATGAGAAGCTACTCGAAGCTGAAGCTACGGTGGTTGACGACAATGAACAATTAGGCCATGACTTTTTCTTAGGGAAGGAGATACTATTTTGTTTAGAACAAGCATCAGAGCAAATTCCTTTTAGCTTGTGCAACGCACAGCCGCAGTTCTTGTGGTAGGGCCGTCGCTCGATATCAACATCATTAAGAGATAAACTACAGTCAGTAGCATAGTGAAGCATCGTCATTGTCCCTCCTCTGATAATTAGGCTGGGATTTTGTGTGCATGCGGAAACATTTATATAGGCAGGGAATCATTGTTATTGTTGAACAGGGGCGGATCCAGCCCACTTTGGCCCACCCTCAATTTTTTTTTTTAAATATTAATATATATAATTGTTGGATTTTGGCCCACCCTAACAAAAATATTAATAGATAAAATATTATGTAATTAGTTTTTATTTTGGTCCACCCTAAAATTTTTTTTGGATCCGCCACTTTTGTTGAGTGAAGGATTTGGAAGTAAGGTAGCAAAGAATTCATCCCGTGAAACTCAAGGGAAGATCCGATGTCTAGGAGGGTCTTCTTCTTCTTCTTCCCCAAGAAAAATTTCACAAATTGACAAACATTTTTCCCTAGGGAGAACTAAGACCATGCACACAGAGAGAGAGAGAGAGAATGGGAATCTTAATTAAGGCATGCAATGAATCAGCTTGGCTAGGCTTGCGAATTCGTTATAGAAATGGGAGATTGAGCATTGTTTGATCCAGCTGAGGGTTGTTTTTTTAATAACATATAAGTTTACTGGCCGTTAGAATTATTGTGATACCAATTTTGTTGTTATGTACGTGAGAGAGTAATTCTATGCCAAAAACAATCTCATTCAAGTGTCAATTTAGCCTCACTAACAGTTTATAATTTGTGCACATAAGATGGTTCTTAATTTACTTCACCATGTTGCTTTTTCAAAATTTCCTTTCTCCACCGAATAGTGACTGGTGTTCTTAAGCCAGATTTCATTTTGAGGCGGCTGGGGCTGTTGGAAACATAAATTATATCGGACCCTGTTTATCCTTATTGCTTTAACCACATATAGTAATGGATGAATTTGCATTTTAGCTAACAATCCTAGAAGCAAGAAGGCGTTTAACCTTAACAATCATAGTAGCAAAAGGTCAGATGTGTAGCTGATTAATGGGATGATATTTATGTACAAAACAAAGTTTTACGAAGAAACATAAATTTATATAGTTTTACGAAGATGTACTTCTTTTCATTTAAATGTTTATTGAAATTTTTTTATAGACATATATGTAAATTTATCATAAAAAAAACTGTCAGAACGTTGGAAAATAAACTCCCAAGTATAGGTTGGGTGAGTTAAAAACCTCTAAAAACCCTTACAATGGTTATTCTCAAATCGTTACGATGGTTCCTACTCATAACCGCTTCTAAAACTCTCAAACAGACCCTAAAAAAAAATTACGAACCTAAACAATTTAAGTATATATATTATTGAGCAACTCATTTCAATATTCAAAATAAAATTAGAGTTTATTATGATAAAAAAGAAGAGAAAATTTAAATTAATAACAAAATATTTTTCTAGATGGATGTTTAATAATTTTCTACTAATTAAAAAGGGGGCAATACATCGTCTAAAAAAATTAAAGAAATAAGGGAGAAAAGAAGAGCGAAAAGAAAAAAAGTATAAATAAAGTTTTTTTTTAAATTATATATATAAATAAATTAAAAGATGTAACAAATTTAGATGAGTTTGACTATTTTAAATAAAAAAATAGAATTTTATTTATTTATTTCAATTAAGAAACTTTACCCATAATTCCTGTCAACCACTCCTAAACCGAGCCACTTTCGCTGTCTCGTATCCAAACACCCCCGTTTGACCAATTTCATTTGGACAATTCATCAATCAAGGCGCTTCAGTCCCATGAAATCAAGGGCATTTTCGTTATTCATCCCTACAATGGTACTTCATTCTCACAGTACCCCCCACACAGATCTCGAATCGTCTTTCATTTTCTTTTTAAATTGTAATTTTTTTTATTACTAAATTCGATTTTTGTTAACCCGAACCGTACGAAACCGGACAGAATTACTTGGCGGCATGGGGGTTCCGGCGTTTTACCGTGGTTGGCAGATCGGTACCCGCGGTCGATTGCTGACGGGTCGAGGAGGAGCCGATGGCGGACGGTAACGGAGTTGTTACCCCCGTCGACGTGTCGAAACCTAACCCTAACGGCATAGAATATGATAATATGTACTTGGACATGAACGGGATTATTCATCCTTGTTTTCACCCCGAAGGCAAGGTATAGCTTTGTTTTTTTTCTTTTCTCCTTTCTTTTTGGTTTATATTTGTGGATAATTTTTATTTTAAGTTGGCGAGAAGATAGAATTATGTTGAAGAATTAGTTATCATAATGTTCAGATATGTTATTAGCTTAAAAAAGAGGAACTGTTAAGGTTCTGTTTGGTAGGAACGAAATTTTGGGGAGACTGTTCTGTTAAATTTGTTGTTACCACTTTTTTTTTTCCTCAGTTGAATTGCTAAAGTCTTAAAAAGCTTTTGACCTGATGCTAGTTATCATGGGGCCGTGAACTGAGTGGGTGCCTTATCCCACCTTAAATGGCCTCTGTCGTGATTGGAGATGGTGCCTGCTTCTAATACCAAATGGTAAGTGCCTCAACCGTTTCATCTTGGGAGCTCTGGAGCTCAAGGGGATAAGGGCTGAGGAACTGGTCATGTGAAGCGGGGTGGAGGTGTTTTCTTTTGAATGGAAAAAAAAAAGAAAAAAAGAGAAAAAAAAAGGGAGAGAGGAAGGATGCGTTTTTTCTTGAAAGTTAGAACCGTCGAAGTATGAATTTTTAGTAATTGGGTGAGAGGGGACATTACAAATATAGCTAGTTAAGAAAAGAGGTCGATTTATTAGTATGTGTGACAATATTTAAGTTGTGAGGGAAGAGGGGAGTATGTGTAGCAGAGAAGTGAAATTCCAGGAAAATTATTACTTTACCTAAAGGTATCGGTACTGTGCTCTTAAGAACCCTCAGAGAAGGGTAAGCTAATCTTCATTAATGGTCCATAGCTTCTTTGTATCATCACTAGCTAGTATTGTTGAGTTAAAATTGGGCTTAGAGAGAAATTACTAGTTTCTCTTTTCTCCTTTTCATTCCACTCCTCTGATCAATTGGATTTAATCTATCATCAGTATACATCTCTTATCCAACAACTCCTCTGATCAATTGGATTTAATCTATCATCAGTTTACATCTCTTATCCAACAAAACTATGTCTTTTACTCTTATTTACTTGAAGAATTACACATGTAAGGTTTGGTGGTGAATGGTCAAATTATTATATGTATACCAAACAATGGAAAATAACAATTGTCTCCTTTCCCTCTCCTTTCCATCTTATTCAAACAAAGAAATGGAGGGTAGGTTCTCTCATCTTCTGCCTTTTTCTCTTCAATCCCTTTTCTTTGCTTCTACTGAATATAATTTTTAGGCCTCTCAAAGGAGGTGGCCAATGAGAGATATTTTGAAAAAAGTGTTTCTCATGGCAATGAAGTCCGTTGGGAAATTGTACCCTGATGAAAGTTGTTAACTCCTGCAGCCTGCACCTGCCTCCTACGACGATGTATTTAAATCTATATTTGATTACATTGACCATATATTCTCGTTGGTTCGTCCAAGAAAGCTTCTCTATATGGCAATTGGTAAGTTCTACTTCAGACTTAATAATTATTTAGTTCCTTTTTTGCTAGAATCAGATTTGCTCATTATAGGTTTCTGTAGATGGAGTGGCGCCGAGAGCTAAAATGAATCAGCAGCGTTCTCGGCGCTTCAGAGCTGCAAAGGATGCTGCTGAGGCTGTAAGATTTCACTCACATTATGTTAATGGGTATTAGTAAATAAAGGCAATATATTTTGTTGTTATTATATGTATTTCTAATGTCATCTTAGGAAGCTGAAGAAGAAAGGTTAAGGAAAGAATTTGAGGAAGCTGGGAAAATCTTGGCTCGTAAAGAAAAGCCTGAAACTTCTGATTCAAATGTCATCACTCCTGGCACACAATTTATGGCCATGCTATCAGTAGCACTTCAGTACTATATACAATCTAGGTTGAACCACAATCCAGGGTGGCGGTTTACAAAGGTGTGATAGACATTGTCCTAAAATAGTCACTGTCTCCCTTTGTACCTTAAGATCGGATGGTTCCTTACTTGTGGAGTAATCCATTCTGTATCTTTTCCCCATATACTTCTGGCTTTCAGGATTCTTTCTCTCTAAATTTATTTATGAGGCTGCATTGGGTGATTATTTGAAGGTTATACTTTCTGATGCGAATGTTCCTGGTGAAGGAGAGCACAAAATCATGTCTTACATTCGATTGCAGCGCAACCTTCCTGGTTTTGATCCAAACACTCGGCATTGTCTGTATGGCCTAGTGAGTTGTGCTTTAATTTTAGGCTTTTTTCATTGCTCATGTCTTGGATTGTCATGTTTATGCATGATTAGGTTTCTTACATTTGATTTTTTAACACACCCTCTCTTTTTACATGCCCTTTTTTCTTTTTGGTTTAATATAATCAGGATGCAGATTTGATTATGTTGTCTTTAGCCACACATGAGGTTCACTTTTCAATATTAAGAGAGGTTAGTTGAACATATTGTGAGTAGTGTTCATGGTTCCTGCTCTTTTTTTTTCTGGTTGGATCTCATGATTCCTTCACACTGATTGTGCAGGTGATCACTTTTCCTGGGCAACAGGAAAAATGTTTTCTTTGTGGTCAAGCTGGTCATTTAGCAGCTGAGTGTCGTGGTAAATCGGGCGATAATGCTGCAGATGGGAATGGGGTGGATGATGCTCCAATTCACAAGAAGAAGTATCAGGTTGGAGAACTAACAACCTGGTTCTGGTTCCTAAAATTCAAGTTGTTTCATTTTTTATTCCTATTTTTATTTTTCTGACTGCTTTTTAATCTGACTCATTCTTTAACAGTTCCTAAACATTTGGGTGTTGCGAGAATATTTGCAATATGATTTGGACATACCTAATCCACCATTTCCAATAAACTTTGAGCGAATAGTGGATGATTTTGTGTTTTTGTGTTTCTTTGTTGGCAATGACTTTCTCCCACATATGCCGACATTGGAAATTAGAGAGGTGTGTAAGTGGCAGGCATTTTGTTCCTGTAATTAAATAGTTGTTATTCTGAGCAACATGCTTAATTTTAATCATTTTTTTCTATGCTGTTTCTGCATTTGCTGGTTTACAGGTTGTCTTATTCTTCCCACTAGACATTTTCTGTTCTCTTTCCATTCTTATAAGTTATGCCATCATTCTTACCATAAAGATCTTTACTTCCTGCAGGGTGCTATAAATTTACTGATGCATGTTTATAGAAGGGAGTTCGCTGCCATGGGTGGTTATCTTACTGATGGTGGTGAGGTAATTTTTCTGTTTTAAGCAGTCCTTTAAAATGGGTAGCCACTCTATCTGCTTCATGTTTCTTGTAGGGGAAGAATGCCTTTTTTTTTTTTTTTTTTTTTACATGCTGTTCTATCAATAATTTTATATCTTGAATCCTCCGTTTTGTTATTTCTTTTCTGATAATAATGTTAGGCTATCTTAACAAATACTGAGAAAGTTCAAATTACATGTTCAGGTTTTGTTAGACAGAGTAGAGAAATTTATCCAGTCTGTTGCTGTATATGAAGATCAAATTTTTCAGAAGAGGACTCGTATACAACAGGTTCTTTAAGCCTTCTCCATTATTTCTTTTTATTTTATTACATTATGTTTGCTTCATTTGATTCCGAGAATGGCGTGGACTTTGTCTAAGTCATATATATATCCTACTTTTACTATTCTCTACAGTTTTTTTTAATAATTTGATGTGAAGATGCAATAATCATTTATTCCTTGTCTTGGAGGTTGTGTAATTAAGTTACTGTTGTCTTGAGGCTACATTTCTTGTATTCTTGAGCATGTGTCTGTAATAAGCTTAACTTTGATTTATGTACAATTGAGCAATCCTCATGTTTTGCTTCCTTCAATCCATTAAATATGCTTAGCCAAATGATAATTTATGGATGATACTTGCCTTGAAGAATGATCATATTCAGCTTTCTTTCTTTTTCAATTAATAATTTTTATTCTGTAGAAATTTTCTGATACTTATTCTGATGATCTTTTTCAGTCTATGGAGTATAATGAGAGTCTTAAAGCAAGAAGAGAGTCTACTGAAGAGCCACAGGCACCAGCTGAGGATAGGGTCTGTCTCTTTGTCCATTGTTTTGTGTAATAATTTTTTATACCAAAATTGTTTTTTTAACTACTATAAAATTTATCAAAATTTAAATTTAAATGCACCACAAAGTCAAAGACAAAAACAACGAAGTTTACCCCTTTATTGACTTCCTTTATACTTTATGCATTCCGAGACTGGGAATTCATCAGCAATTTATCCCGTCAAATGTCAGCTTCATTCATATGGGGAAAGTTTTTCTTGATTACTTCTCTCTAATTCTGAAAGTAGATGATGCTCATTACTGCGTGATACAATTTTAATTGAAAACTTGGAAGTTCTCTGGCCATTAGGAGGCTTTGGAAATAGACTTGGAAACCCGTTGGTTATCAAAAGTCTTTATCCTTTTGGCATTAAATGAGAATTTAATGTCTTTATTGATATTCCTGTTGTGAGATGGGTTAAGATTATTATTATTATTATTATTATTATTATTTTAAAAGTTGCAGTTTTTTAGGTGCACTGATCAAGGATAAGGTTGCTTCATCTGGACTAAATAAATATATTATGCTGAGGAAGTAATTATGTCAATTAGAATGATTTATGATATGCTTTTTCTTAGGTTAAATTGGGGGAGCCTGGGTATAAAGATAGGTATTATGCTGAGAAGTTTGACGTATCAAATCCACTGGAGATTGATCAAATTAAGAAAGACGTGGTACGTTCTTATCCCAGTACTTTTTCCTAGCAAGTGTTTGATTTAATATTTTCTAAAAAATGGTTCTGGATGATTAATATTTGATATATTCCCTGTTGCAATGTATTTTGAGGAATTAAGAATCTTTCAGAACAGTTGTAAGTTGTTTTTTGCAGGTTTGGAAGTATGTGGAAGGTTTATGTTGGGTTTGTCGCTATTACTACCAAGGTGTCACCTCTTGGCAATGGTCAGTTTGATTTTGACCAAATGTGAAAAGATTATGTTTTAACTTCTCTAATTTTTCCTTTCTAAAATAAATCTGGATAAATTTCTAGGTATAAGTACATGCTACGCGTATATGTTTATGAATGAGTTTCAACTAATGAATGTTTTCGTGTTAGATTTGTAATGATGGAAAGGGGACCTTACATTATGTGTCAATGTTATAGTCTAGTTTGTCTCTAGAACTTGGAAAGCTCTTGCGATAAAGTTGAAAATGTCCTGTTTTTAATATGGTTTTGGCCCTCACCCCTATATATGTGTATATATGACCTTCCGATGGTTAAACACCAAATGGCATATCACATGCGAGAAGGAATACAAATCATTTTTAGATGCTATTTGAGTTTGACTATATATGAGTTTATGACTATGGTTAATTTAAAGATGTATTTCTGTTTTAATTTGTTCAGGTTTTATCCATACCATTATGCTCCATTTGCTTCGGATCTCAAAGATCTGTCTGACTATGAAATAACACTTTTTCCGGGAGAACCGTTTAAGCCTTTTGATCAGCTCATGGGAACCCTGCCAGCTGCTAGGTGGCTTTTTTTTTTTTTTTAAAAAAAAAAAAAAAATTAGTGTGGCTATTTAAACTTCAGCTCAATTGATGGGGAAAGTATCTGTTTCTTGTTACAGTTCCAGTGCTTTGCCAGAAAAATACAGAAATTTGATGATTGATTCGTCATCACCTATCTATAAATTCTATCCTTCTGGTATGTTACTGTTACTGCCAGTGATCACTTATTCCCAACATAATCCTTTTCCTTTGCAAGTTTACTTGGTTTTTTCTTGTGAACAGATTTTGAGGTTGACATGAATGGTAAACGCTTTGCATGGCAGGTGCAGTGATGTCAACTACTAAGTGTCGATGCAATTTTATTATTGGATACCATTAAGAAACTAACTGAATTTATCTTTTATTCCTTCTTTGGAAGTCAGGGTGTTGTGAAATTGCCATTTATTGATGAGAAGAAGTTGCTTACTCAAACAAAGAAGCTTGAAGCCGCTTTAACGGTCTGGTCTCTTTTATGTTATACGAGTATGCATAATAACTTATTAACTTTCTTGACCTTACCTATACACATTTGTTATCATTTTCGTATTATAAAAATGAAATAATGTAATAAAGTAGAGAATAGGTACATAGCAAAAATTCTTTTCACTTTGTGTATTTTAAATTTATACTTGTACATGTGGTTCTTTGTGTTTTTTTCTGTTTAAAATATTATTGCACATTTTCCAAGATAAAGTAGAGAATGAAAAAAAATAAACAAAATCAATAATAAACATACCCTTACATTTTGTGTGTTTCTTTCATTTTACTTTACCTAAAGGTATCGTACTGTGCTCTTAAGAACCCTCAGAGAAGGGTAGCTAATCTTCATAATGTCCATAGCTTCTGTGTATCATCACTAGCTAGTATTGTAGAGTTAAAATTGGGCTTAGAGAGAAATACTAGTTTATCTTTTCTCCTTTTCATTCCTCCCCTCTGATCAATTGGATTTAATCTATCATCAGTATACATCTCTTATCCAACAACTCCTCTGATCATTGGATTTATCTATCATCAGTTACATCTCTTATCCACAAACTATGTCTTTTCCTCTTATTTACGTGAAGAATTACACATGTAAGGTTTGGTGGTGAATGGTCAAATTATTATATGTATACCAAACAATGGAAAATAACAATTGTCTCCTTTCCCTCTCCTTTCCATCTTATTCAAACAAAGAAATGGAGGGTAGGTTCTCTCATCTTCTGTCGTTTTCTCTTCAATCCCTTCTTTGCTTCTACTGAATATAATTTTTAGGCCTCTCAAAGGAGGTGGCCAATGGGATATTTTGAAAAAAGTGTTTCCATGCAATGAAGTCCGTTGGAAATTGTACCCTGATGAAAGTTGTTAACTCCTGCAGCCTGCACCTGCCTCCTACGACGATGTATTTAAATCTATATTTGACTACATTGACATATATTCTCGTTGGTTCGTCCAAGAAAGCTTCTCTATATGGCAATTGGTAATTTCTACTTCAGACTTAATAATTATTCAGTTCCTTTTTGCTAGAATCATTTGTCATTATAGGTTTCTGTAGATGGTGGCGCCGAGAGCTAAAATGAATCAGCAGCGTTCTCGGCGCTTCAGAGTGCAAAGATGCTGCTGAGGCTGTAAATTTCACTCACATTATGTTAATTTATTAGTAAATAAAGGCAATATATTTTGTTGTTATTATATGTATTTCTAATGTCATCTTAGGAAGCTGAAGAAGAAAGGTTAAGGAAAGAATTTGAGGAAGCTGGGAAAATCTTGGCTCGTAAAGAAAAGCCTGAAACTTCTGATTCAAATGTCATCACTCCTGGCACACAATTTATGGCCATGCTATCAGTACACTTCAGTACTATATACAATCTAGGTGAACCACCCAGTGGCGGTTTACAAAGGTGTGATAGACATTGTCCTAAAATGTCCCTGTCTCCCTTTGTACCTTAAGATCGGATGGTTCCTTACTTGTGGAGTATCCATTCTGTATCTTTTCCCCATACTTCTGGCTTTCAGGATTCTTTCTCTCTAAATTTATTTATGAGGCTGCATTGGGTGATTATTTGAGGTTATACTTCTGATGCGAATGTTCCTGGTGAAAGAGCACAAAATCATGTCTTACATTCGATTGCAGCGCAACCTTCCTGTTTTTGATCCAAACACTCGGCATTGTCTGTATGGCCTAGTGAGTTTGTGCTTTAATTTTAGGCTTTTTTCATTGCTCATGTCTTGGATTGTCATGTTTATGCATGATTAGGTTTCTTACATTTGATTTTTAACAACACCCTCTCTTTTTACATGCCTTTTTTTCTTTTGGGTTTAATATAATCAGGATGCAGATTTGATTAGTTGTCTTTAGCCACACATGTTCACTTTTCAATATTAAGAGAGGTTAGTTAACATATTGTGAGTAGTTTTCATGGTTCCTGCTCTTTTTTTCTGGTTGGATCTCATGATCCTTCACACTGATTGTGCAGGTGATCACTTTCCTGGGCACCAGGAAAAATGTTTCTCTGTGGTCAAGCGTGTCATTTGGCAGCTGAGTGTCGTGGTAACTCGGGCGATAATGCTGCAGATGGGAATGGGGTGGATGATGCTCCAATTCACAAGAGAAGTATCAGGTTGGAGAACTAACACCTGTTCTGGTTCCTAAAATTCAAGTTGTTTCATTTTTTATTCCTATTTTTATTTTTCTGACTGCTTTTTAATCTGACTCTTCTTTAACAGTTCCTAAACATTTGGTGTTGCGAGAATATTTGCAATATGATTTGGACATACCTAATCCACCATTTCCAATAAACTTTGAGCGAATAGTGGATGATTTGTGTTTTGTGTTTCTTTGTTGGCAATGACTTTCTCCCACATATGCCGACATTGGAAATTAAGAGTTGCGTAAGTGGCAGGCATTTGTTTCCTGTAATAAATAGTTGTTATTCTGAGCAACATGCTTAATTTTAATCATTTTTTTCTATCTGTTTCTGCATTTGCGGGTTTACAGGTTGTCTTATTCTTCCCACTAGACATTTTCTGCTCTTTCCATTCTGTAAGTTATGCCATCATTCTTACCATAAAGACTTTACTTCCTGCAGGTGCTATAAATTTACTGATGCATGTTTATAGAAGGGAGTTCGCTGCCATGGTGGTTATCTTACAGATGGTGGTGAGGTAATTTTTCTGTTTTAGCAGTCCTTTAAATGGGTAGCCACTCTATCTGCTTCATGTTTCTGTAGGGGAAGAATGCCTTTTTTTTTTTTTTTTTTTTTTACTGCTGTTCTATCAATAATTTTATATCTTGAATCCTCCGTTTTGTTATTTCTTTCTGATAATATGTAGGCTATCTTAACAAATACTGAGAAAGTTCAAATTACATGTTCAGTTTTTGTTAGACAGAGTAGAGAAATTTATCCGTCTGTTGCTGTATATGAAGATCAAATTTTTCAGAAGAGGACTCGTATACAACAGGTTCTTTAAGCCTTCTCCATTATTCTTTTTATTTTATTACATTATGTTTGCTTCATTTGATTCGGAAGGGCGTGGACTTTGTCTAAGTCATATAAATTCCTACTTTTACTATTCTCTACAGTATTTTTTCAATATTTTGATGTGAAGATACAAAATCATTTATTCCTTGTCTTGGAGGTTGTGTAATTAAGTTACTGTTGTCTTGAGGCTACATTTCTTGTATTCTTGAGCATGTGTCTGTAATAAGCTAACTTTGATTTATGTACAATTGAGCAATCCTCATGTTTTGCTTCCCATAAAAAGAAAGAGAAAATTTAAATTAATAACAAAATATTTATTCTAGATGGATTATTTAATAATTTTCTACTAATGTAAAAAGTGGGGGCAATACCATCAGTCTAAAAGAAATTAAAGAAATACAAGGGAGAAAAGAAGAGCGAAAAGAAAAAAGTATAAATAAAGTTTTTTTTTAAAAAAAATTATACATATATAAATAAATTAAAAGATGTTTAACAAATTTTAGATGAGTTTGACTATTTTTAAATAAAAAAATAGAATTTTATTTATTTATTTCAAATTAAGAAACTTTACCCATAATTCCTGTCAACCACTCCTCAACCGATTGCCACTTCTCGCTGTCATCGTATCCAAACACCCCACGTTTGACTCAATTTCATTTGGACAATTCAGTCAATCAAGGCTGCTTCAGTCTCCATGAAATCCAAGGGCATTTTCGATTATTCATCCCCTACAATGGTACTTCATGTCTACACAGTACCCCCCCACACAGATCTCGAATCCTGTCTTTCATTTTCTTTTTAAATTGTAATTTTTTTTTATTACTAAATTCGATTTTTTGTTAACCCGAACCGTACGAAACCGGACAGAATTACTTGGCGGCATGGGGGTTCCGGCGTTTTACCGTTGGTTGGCAGATCGGTACCCGCGGTCGATTGCTGACGTGGTCGAGGAGGAGCCGATGGCGAACGGTAACGGAGTTGTTACCCCCGTCGACGTGTCGAAACCTAACCCTAACGGCATAGAATATGATAATATGTACTTGGACATGAACGGGATTATTCATCCTTGTTTTCATCCCGAAGGCAAGGTATAGCTTTGTTTTTTTTCTTTTCTCCTTTCTTTTTGGTTTATATTTGTGATTTTTGTGGATAATTTTTATTTTAAGCTGGCGAGAAGATAGAATTATGTTGAAGAATTAGTCATCATAATGTTCAGATATGTTATTAGCTTAAAAAAGAGGAACTGTTAAGGTTCTGTTTGGTAGGAACGAAATTTTGGGGAGACTGTTCTGTTAAATTTGTTGTTACCTCTTTTTTTTTCCTCAGTTGAATTGCTAAAGTCTTAAAAAGCTTTTGACCTGATGCTAGTTATCATGGGGCCGTGAACCGAGTGGGTGCCTTATCCCACCTTAAATGGCCTCTGTCGTGATGGGAGATGGTGCCTACTTCTAATACCAAATGGTAAGTGCCTCAACCGTTTCATCTTGGGAGCTCTGGAGCTCAAGGGGATAAGGGCTGAGGAATTGGTCATGTGAACCGGGGTGGAGGTGTTTTCTTTTGAATGGAAAAAAAAAAGAAAAAAAGAGAAAAAAAAAGGGAGAGAGGAAGGATGCGTTTTTTCTTGAAAGTTAGAACTGTTGAAGTATGAATTTTTAGTAATTGGGTGAGAGGGGACATTACAAATATAGCTAGTTAAGAAAATAGATCGATTTATTAGTATGTGGGACCATATTTAAGTTGTGAGGTATGTGTAGCAGAGAAGTGAAATTCCAGGAAAATTATTACTTTACCTAAAGGTATCGGTACTGTGCTTTAAGAACCCTCAGAGAAGGGTAAGCTAATCTTCATTAATGGTCCATAGCTTCTCGTATCATCACTAGCTAGTATTGTGAGTAAAATCGGGCTTAGAGAGAAATTACTAGTTTCTTTTCTCCTTTTCATTCCACTCCTCTGATCAATTGGATTTAATCTATCATCAGTATCATCTCTTATCCAAA